AATCTCTGTGTGTTATGCGCTGACTATATCTGCAAGTTGAATATATTCGCCGAACTGATTGCGGTAGGTTTTAGGTTTGTACCGAACCCTTTGGCACTATCGATGGATAAGAACACTTTGTCCGTGATTTCCAAGGTTGCGTCCGGATCTAACTCAGCCGCTTCATCTGTCTCCTCAACCTCATCATCACTACCTCCCTCGATATCCTCGTCATGGTTTATATCGAAAGCACTTAGTTGACCCTCACTATACTTGACCACTAAGCTGAGGGACAGAGCAAGCGCTGGTACCATTGCTCCAGCCATATTAACGAACTACACACACTGAAATAAAGTGTGAACCTTTATATATAGTTATATACATATTATTTATCACTATATACACACGTTCATGTATAATGTTGTATCTGTGTATGTAATTCTCTATGAAATGAACACTGAAAACATACTATGCCAATCGGTACCCTAACAATGTAAATTTTGATGTTGTCAGAACGAATATAGGATTTGACCAATCAGTAACAAGCTTGAATGCACACCTAACAATAGAAATTCAAATCCACTTGAAATTAAGCTTGGTAACAGTCTATTTAAGTATGGGCCACTGTATGAATGCTTGGTGTATCCTGGCATATTCAAGATATCCAAAAAATACAAGATAAAATGCATACAACACCCGTATATAATAAAATGCACGCAAACGGTGTACGAAAACAAGCACACGCACATACGGTGTACACAAACAAAATGAATACACTCATACAGTGTACACAAAAAATACAAAAGAAACAAAATGCATACAAGCACACGTACACTGCGGTATATAGAAGAATACACGCATACGTACATACACGCAGGTAACGCACTGCATATATACAAGCACACGTACAGATACATAAAAAAACTACACGTACAAATACATAAAAAAACTATACGCATACGTACATACACGCGGATAACGCACTGCATACAAACACACGCACACATACATAGAAAAATATATGCATACGTACTCACACTTAGATAAAGCACACTGCATACAAGCACACGCACTTATACGTAGCAAAATACACGCACACGTACATACACACGGATAACGCACACATACATAGCAAAATACACGCACACGTACATACACGTGGATATTGCACACGTACATACACGCTGATAATGCACACATACATAGGCACATGTAGCGCTTCGCAAATATCCATCCCAACCTAAATAAATATTGCAGCGCTGTTATAGCGCATCGTAGCTAGGTTGCAACGTAGTATATGAAAAGATCGAGCGAGCTGATCAGACTGATCATAGAAAATATCTTTTACCGGGTTTTGTTTAAAATCGGCATATGTATTTATTTAATTGTTTAAAAATAGACCGAGCTCAGCTCATATTTACCGCCCCGCGAGTAAATAAATACTCCCAGCCACAGGGTAGTAATGTTTCGCAAGTTATTGGCTTTTCCCCACAACTTTTATACTACGAGTTCTATTGTTTTATTTAAAAAAAAATAGTTCTAATTTCTTGGGTTTTATCTTAAAATCGTTCACGAAAATCGTTGACAACACTACTACTACGTCAGTAAATACATATTTACATCTTTGGATGACTTGTCCCATCGGGATTGCCCCGGATTTTAGCGTCAGCCGTAATGTATTTCAATTGCTACTACTTCTCTCAACTCTGTTGTCGTCTCTCTCTATTTTAGAGAAAGAGAGAGGATCATGGTCTCATGGCTTCTATTTTTAAACAGTTTCAGCCGTCAAGACTATTGTCACTATTCGTAAAAATATACTACATCGCAATTCGAGTGAAGTTATGACAAATTCAGTAGATCATCGCCCTGATGTTGTGGCCTTACCAGGATGGACAAAGACGATTACTGGTGACAGTAACTATCACAAAATTCATCTGGAGGTTGAGGTATATGATTTTACCAATCTGAGAGACGTTCGTGCCCAATTTGACGTAACTGATAGAATTTGAACTCAATTGTCGCTTGTGATAGATTTGGTCACAAACACACGCACACACGCACACACGCACACACGCACACACGCACACACTCACACGCACACACACACACACACACACACACACACACAACCAAAACACGCACACACACACACGCACACACGTACACACACACACACACACACCAACACACACACACACAGAGAAGAAAACAGTGTAGGCAATCACACCTATGACACGCATATATCCTCTGTAGTACTATATCTCGCCTTCTACGCATATATATATATATAGTATTTATATATTTCTAACAAATATATATATATATATATATATATATATATATATAGTATATATTACTCTATATATATATAGTATATATATATTATATATTATTATATATATATATATA